AACAATATGTTGGAGGATTGATGGAATCGAGCATTCACGATCAAATCCAATGGACGTTGGCGGAATAGTGGAATGAAGCAATGCAATTCACGTTGAAGATCCAAGTTCTAACTTCATCCGCAAGTGTACCAAGTTGAGCTACATCGAAGATCAATCAAGCTTGGGTATATTTAGTTTAGGTTTTATATTATGTGTGTTAGTACTTTAAGCTCAATCATATATACAGACACATATTTGGTTTATATATATATATATATATATATATATATATATACAAGTTTTGGTTTATGGACTTAACAATCATTATATACATATTTTATTAAGTCTATAAAATTATTTCATAGGGTTTCAAAACATTGTTTATATCAAATCATCAAATTTCATGTATATCACATTTTCATGTTTTGGACACACTTGCAAAATACATGAGTTTTCAAAAATGAAAAACTCAATTTGAGAAATTCTTTTTCTAACATGTTAAATTTCATATTTATAAATGTTTCTCAAAGTTTTATCAATTTTAGAATTAATTTGTTATGTTTATTTGAATTTACAAAATCAAGTTTTTAATAAGCTCATGTTCGTGCATGCTTTTGTAAAACTGATGCGTTTTCACAATTAGGAAATAAGATTTGAAAATTTTCTTCGTTTACATGTTTATCATCATATATACAAATATTTTCCCAAGTTTTACTAATTATATATACAAATATTTTCCCAAGTTTTACTAATTTTGGAGTTGTTTTGTTATTTTCAATTAAATTTACATAAACGTGTTTTTTTCCCAAGTTTTACTAATTTTGGAGTTGTTTTGTTATTTTCAATTAAATTTACATAAACGTGTTTTCAGTAGTTTTTTTTAGAAACTGTATATCTGTATTCAAATAATTATTTCTCTCAACTGGGAAGTGATATTTCAGAAACTCTTTCTCTAACATGTTCATCTACATGTATAGAACCTTCCCTTAAAATTTCATGATTTTTAGAGTTGATTTACTATTTTTAATTGATTTTACAAAGTCAGATACATAAAACTTTTAACATCTGTCAAAATCTGGAAAAGTATGGTCGATCGTGCTACAGTGCGGTTGACCGCCACGGTCGACCGTCAGCAGTCCATATAGCAGTTTTGCAGTTTTACTTCTCGCGGTCGACCGTGACAGTTACCGTTGTACAGTAACGGTAACTTGGTGATTTTTGTTTTTTAGTGGGTTTTTGGGGTTTTTTGGGTTATTTTCTTCTACCCTATATGTACCCCTTTGCCATAACTATTTTCTACCACCAAAGGATGTTTTAAACAAGTTTTTACAATAGTTTAAGTTTGTTTAAGTGTAGGTTAAAAGTTTTAAGTTTGTGAAGATTGTTTTACAAGAAGAGGAGATCATCTTTGGTTTGAGCTTTCCACTTCACATCTTCATCTCTCTTGTTCTAGAGAAGTTTTCTCAACTCAATTATCTAGCTTGTTTATATTTACATTGTCATATTTATATTTGCTAGACTTTAATTGAGTTTGATTTTATTTCTCTTTGTTTACACACACAACCATTGAGCTTATTGTATTTGCATACATTGTATAATTGGGTTATGGGATTGTGTGATTTAGAGAGTGAGTCTACATTGAGTTCTCATCTATTGTAGAGAACAAATTATTTATTATATTGTGAGATTGTAAAGTTTTCGGTTAGCTAGAAAACCGAGTGTGTAGTGGAGATCTCCTCAAGGTGAGGAGCGGAGACGTAGGTCGTGGGGACCGAACTCTGTGAATGAAATTATGAGGTGTAAACGTTATTCAGGTGAGCGTAAAAAACCCGGTTGTGATAGTAGATTTTTCCCTGAAAGTGGGGAGCGTAGACGTAGGACGGAAGGTCCGAACTCCGTGATCATATCGTTTGTTTGTGATTGCATTGACGCACCTTTCTTATGCTCATATCTTATATCGCATTTGTATATTACTTGTTGTTTATATTGCCCACTATCTAGTTTAGATTGTTTACTTTTGTGTTCATTGTATATCCTCGCATATATCTCATAGTATATATCATTGCTAGGATATTGCTCTTTGTTCATATTAATTATTCTTGCTTGTAACATATTGTATATCTCTCTTACAAGAATAATTTGTTAATTAGTTTTAATTGGCATAAAATCAGATTAGATTAGCATAAGACCCTAATCACCCCCCCTCTAGGGTCTAACAGTTATCACTCACTGCTAAATCCAGCTCGCCTCCACTTCTCTCGATATCTTTCAAGAGATTGAGACAGCAGGAGATGCGGGGAGGATAGAAGTGGTCGGGAGAAGGATAAGAGTTAGGAAGCACTAGTGAAGCTAAGTAGTCGACTCCAGCCTTACATGCCAAAGACACTTCAATCCTTCCTAAGAAGCCATGGTGCCAGTCGTCAACCACCTTCTTTTTATACTGCTCCAAATCCTGACGAACGAGTTTATCCTCTAAATCCTTGATAAGGGCCGCAGATGCCTGAATCTTCGACTGCTGCTGTGCAAATTCTTTCCTTGATTTCTGAAGGGAAAGGAGACTCAATCAAGTATCCGCCTCAGCCGTCATCTTACAACACTTTTCAGACTCAACCTCCACCTGTAGATGAGCCATCTCTCTTTGAAGATCCTCGATGGTTCCCATATGCTTGGAGAACTAGATCCGAAAATTCTTCAGGAGGTCTTCCTTCTCATCCAGACTCTGACGCCAAGCCCCCTCTCTTTGGGCCAACTCGGCCTCCAAGGCAGTGGCCCTCTTCTCCGCCTCTTCCTTGGCCGATTTCTCTAGGGCTTGCTCTGCTCGCCCTTCCAAGGAGGCATGGTGCATTTGCTCAAGTTGATTAAATAGAGCGTGCTCCAACAAAGTCCCCCGAGCTAAGCAAGCTTTGAGGGCCTGATGAATGTCAGCACTAGGCATCTCCCCCAAAATCCTCTCGTCAGTATCATTCTCCTCGTGGTCTGACAGGGTTCCAGCTTGCCCTTCGATGTTGCCGTCCACCCTAACCAGCTCTTTGCCATGATGACGAGATGACTCGGGCATAGAACTGGGGCCGATAGCATCCTCCTCAACTGTCGGGGTCATTGTCTCCCTGCCAGGAGAAGACTCATCTACCAGCCTCATATTTTCTAATCAGTTAAACAGAGTAACCAACGGATCCGTTCCAACTGACTGAGGCCCCACAATCGGTCTGACTGGGTGTCGTCTGTCAACCCTTGTTCTCCCCCTTAATTCGGAGGCAATTTAGGTCGCGTGATGCATCAAGCTGGCCACATCCTCAGCACCAATAGCCTCCCTTAATCTCTTTTGAGGCCTAGTAGCAGAACCTAACCTCGTGGCCTCTGCGTCCCTCTTGTGATTTTCCATTAGCAGAAGAGCAAGAGGACTCGCCCTCGTCTGATCACCAGCGGAGGACAAGATCATGGATACGCCCGCCGTTTGGAGAGATGCATCATCGAATAGATCATCCCTCTCTCGTGACCCGGCATAAGAGAGGATCCTCTCCAAGTCCCCCATCTCCAGATCGCTAAGGGCAACCGGCCTTAACGCGTCCCTATTCGCATTCGGTCAAGTTGAGCAGGCGAAGACGCGGTCAGCACTATAGACCCACACATACCTCTCTCTCCAGCCCTCGCTCGACTTTGAAGAGTCAGAGACAAGCTAGAAACTACCACTATAATGGTAAAATTAGTGCGGGTCCTTTTCCGCTGACCTAATGCTGACCAGATGACCGAGCAATCTCATACTCGGCTTTACTCCCACACAACGACATATTATTATAAAAGCCACCAGAGCCCCCACTACACCCGGGTAAATCTAGGAAGAGGAAATGCCCAAAGCAGCATGTATCTCCCTAATGAAAGGATGAAGAAGCAGCAACAAACCTTGCTCCAAATGGGTCAGATATACAGGCACCTGATTCTCACCATGGCTATGCACCGGCTCGCTCCTCTCAGGTACTGCCAGTGTAAGCGACCTGGGGATATTAAAAAACTCATAAAGCCCCACCAGGTCATCCATATAGACTCTTGAGCGGATGCGTTCAAGAGTAGCAAGCTTCTCATTGCGGCCAATGGGTGAAACTTGAGAGGCCATTGAAAGTTTTGCCTTCTCTTAAGAAGCATGGAGGAATATCAAATATTCTTCAGAATGAAAGTTCGTAAAGGAATCCTATCAGCCCCCAATTAAAACTATTTATAGATATCTGGAGGAGCATATCGAAGGATGTGAAGGGATGCGGTGATTCTCGAAGCAACCAAGCAAGATCCACTTTGGAATCTGAAGCGGTTCACTCGAAGTACGAAGTGCCACCCTCATTTATTGCTCTGTGTCCCAACGCTCGAAAAACAGGATGCCCTCTATTATATCCATGACGCTTCATTTCCTGAAAATGGTGGTTCAAATCTTTAATAACAGCGGCCAAGCAGAGCGGAGCCATGACAATTAAAGAAAGATATCTGATGACGTCAGCCACGTCAATTGATGGAGATTTCTTAGTTTCTCATTAAGAGCAGACTTTCACTGACAAAAAGCCAATCTTATTTCACTCGGACTAGACTAAAGTAAACTCCAAGCAAAAAGGGCCAACTATTATGGTGCTCAACCACCCAAGATACAAATATTTGCAAAATTGATAGTCTTAGCTCTGTCAAACTGGCCCTAACCACCTTGGCGGCCCAAGCCTAACAGAGGTCCCAACTCCGCTGACTCGTCGAACCCATGTCACTCATGTCAACTCGAAAGGTGGGATGAGCCAACCCCCCTGTCGAAGACAACCCACCAAGGGCACTCGACCACTTACTTGGCGACTCACAAAGATGACTTGATGAACATTCCCTATCGACTAGATTGAGGAATAACCTCCGCCTCAAGTCTCTTCCCCTGAGCACATGTCTGCATCCCAGTCCACCTAGGACAAGCCTTATCTTGATTCTAGCTTGAAGGTCTTCATGACTTGTCAGTTGCCAGCGAGCCTTCTGTCACGCTCTCAATCACTTCCCGGAAAATGCGAAGAGCTTATCTCCTATGCCGAAGTGACTTCCCCTCCAGTCGCCAACCGATGCCTGTAAAGCGAGAGATGACTCAGCCTGCTAGCGTGTCTTCTGCCATGCTCTCAATCACTTCCCGAAAAATACAGAGAGCTTATCTCCCATGCCGAAGTGACTTCCCCTCCAGTCAGCAGCCACCACCTGTAAAACGAGGGATGACTCAGTGTCTAGCCCACATCTTGCCACCGCCCTCCTGTACATAGCAAAATAGGACCAACCTGCCCATCTTCCCCTAGATATATATAGGTATGACCCTTAAGTAGGGGTTGGATCTTAAGAGCTTGGGCAATCTAACCCCTCAGAACCACATGAGTTATTTCCTTAACATTCCCCTTCCCCACTCAAGTTTCACTAACTTGATCATCAGAGGAACCACAGAGGGTACCGGTCCCCGCCCTCTCACGGGTCCTTCTTATTTCTATAGCATGAACTTCAGCCTCCAATTCAAAAACCAGGCATAAATTCAGAGAAGGAGATGACCCCTTCATCAATCTCCTCTACCTCGTCCCGACGAGGTCTCCGGAGGAACCGACCTATCCTCTTCTGGATACGATTGATTGTGTGATCTTAGTCATCAACAGGTGGGCATCAGATTGACTGGCCACTTGTACATAATCAGTACATTGCTAGATAGAATGAGCGGCATTTGAGCATTGTCGATTAGCTTTTCCTCCGTTGGAGGAAACCAATTATATAAGATGGTATTAGGGGATTACCAGAAGATAGTTAATCACTCAAACCACACCTTCAGTCAATGAAATCGAGATACGTTCCCAGCAAGCAAGATATGTACTAAGGGGTGTAGATGAGAGAGAATGGATAAGTAAAATGCGTAAATTTAAATAGTTTTTTAATCCATTAGCTTTTGGTTTCTTATATATCTAATTATATCTTTTTACGTAATTGTAGATAGATGCTATGGATGAGATAGAGGGGATTGCAAATGAAGGCATAACTACCACCAGAAGAGATTCAATACATATATCGGTATTGCAACGGATAATGGGGAGGGTTCGTAGAGCTCTTCATTGAACTCATGAAGATCGGCATGATGGTTGCGAGCATATGGCGCATGAGGAGAGGGTATGTACACGCCAATGAAGACGAGGCGGATCTTGCTCGCACGAATTTGAAGCTGGTCTATCACAACAAGCTAGTCCATTACAACCCCACACACAACTAGAGAGCGAGCATGTACGAGCTCAAATCGAAGAAGGACGCCGATAATTGGAGCGGGTACGAAGATGGAGACAACGGTGGAGGGGTAAACTTTTAGGTTGCATGTGATAATTTATTAGTTTTTTTGCTTAGACTATATTTGTCGTATTGATAGACTTGATATATTTGGATTTGTTTGGACTATTTTGTCATATGGATATGTATATGACGTAGCTATTATGTTGTGATGTAGTGAATTCATTAAATATGTTTTTATTCAGTGTTTATTTCTTAAAATTTATAACTATATAAATATTATATTGTATAATAATTATATGAAGTGGATGTGATATTTTTGTAGCCCAGACAGGTCTCCTAAGCAATGTATATGAAGCGATATAGCATGTGCACGTTTTTGCTATGCCCAGCAAATCCACAAGACTACTAGCCCTGTGGATTTGTTGGGCAACAACGCCCTGCTCTCACCCAAGTCTCTGCTTAACACACGGGACTAGTAGTCCCTTGCGTTTCTTTGCACAGTTCAGAAAACCCACGGGACTAGGATTTTCCGAATCAATATTAGTGGACAATTACTGGCCACTAAACATACAGGACTACTAGTCTGTATATTTCAGAAGCCTGTTTTTGTGAAACTGACCTCTTTTTGACCTGTTGGCCAAAATGTGGTCGGTTTTGCTAAATAATTAGCAAAATAGTAGCTTTTGCCAATTATTTAGGAAAAAAGACCTCTTTTGAAAGAAAAAAAAACTCCATTGTTTAATAGATTGATGAACTTGAAATTAAATAATTTGAAAAGGCAGAGATTAATTAAGTATGTAATTGCAGAATTAAGTACTTTGAAAGACGGGAACCGGAAGAGGTGGGAGTTGGATTAGTTACACAATTACATGGAAGATAAAGAGTTGAATTTGCCAAAAGCATTATGGAAGATAAAGAGTTGAATTTGCCAAAAGCATGCTTAATGCCATATATCGTTTATACCATATATCGTTTATGTGAATACTAATTTAACAATTTTCCATCTCATAATCATAATGCCTAATTATCAAAAATTGTATTATTGCATTTATTATAATATTTGAATGAGACTTTTGAGTGTACTGTGGTAATTTGATTGAATTTTGAAGGATATTTTGGAAAATTAAAAGTTTTGACATCCATATTCTCTTTTATAAATAGTATATAATCATAATGCCTAATTATCAAAAATTGTATTATTGCATTTATTATAATATTTGAATGAGACTTTTGAGTGTACTGTGGTAATTTGATTGAATTTTGAAGGATGTAGTAATATATATATATATATATATATATATATATATATATATATAATATATATATATAGAGAGAGAGAGATGAGGAGACGAGAGGGGTATTAGTTTTATTTTGAGTCCCATTTTAGTGTTGAAGTATTTAAGAATAAGAAAGAGTCCTAACGCCGAGCTCAAAATTCAACTTGGTAACAAAAGATCTTTTTCAAACATGTACATATTTTTGCGCTTACAATAAGGGGTGTCCAAAAAGCCCGGAAGCCCGAACGGCGCGCCCGGTGTCCCGGCCGCGTGGGCCCGGCCGGTCGTGCCCGGGCCCGGGCCGGCGGCCAGGCCGGAACCCGGGGCAAAAACCCCGGGTCGGGCCCGGGCCCGGGTCGCCGTTGGCGAACCCTGTCGGGCCCGGGCCGGCCCCGAACAGTGCTCAAAAATGGGCACTGGTTCTTCGAATGGCCGGGCCGGGCCGGACGCGGCCCGGCCCGGCCCGGCCAAAATAAACGGTCCAGCGAAAGCGTGGGACCGTCTGCCAGGCGCCGGGCCGGGCTGGCCCGGCCCCGGCCCGACCGAACGGTCAACGAGGTGACCGTTTGGCCGGGCCGGGCTGGCACGGCCCGCCCGGTCCGACGGTCACCTTCAGTGACCGTTATGCCGGGCCGGGGAGGCCGGGTTGGTCCCCGTAGGGGGCTGCTTCTATAAATAGAGGGGGGGTTTCAATTCATTTTCTCACAACAAAACTCATCTATTTCTCTCTCTACTACTCTCTTATACAATCTTATACTATCTCATACTAATATACTATCCTATAATCTTTTGTATTTTCTAATACTTCCAACAAATGGCTTCTGGGTCTGATTATGAAGAGCAACATGCAACTCCTACCGATCCAGAGATGAGTCCTCCTACAACAACTCCTCATCCTACCGGTGTTAATCCTGAATCTGGTGGCGACGAATCTACGGCACCAAGAGCTCCAAAAAGGCCGAGGTCTGATGTATGGAATTTTTTTGAGAAGATAGACGTCACCAAGGATGAACACGGTAGGATCATCTCTCAGAATGCGAAATGTGCGTTGTGCGGCCAGATATTCAAAGCTCATCATAAGAGCGGCACCAACCATCTCAAACGGCATATTGAAAAACACAACAAAGGCCAAAATCTACAAGGTGATATCCGGCAGTCTATGCTTTCCCAATCATCCTCTTCAGGTACCCTCGGCAGTTGGAATTATGACGCTGCCCGAGCCCGGAAATGCGTAATCAGGTTTATTGTTCTTAAAAACCTTCCTTTTAAATTAGTAGAAGATGATGAATTTGAAGATTTATTTAGAGATGGTTTTTATCCTGCATTTACAAAATTTTCTCGTCAAACCTGTCAACGTGATATTTTAAAATATTATGTTGAGGAACAGGGAAAAATAATTTCTTATTTTAAAAATTTAAACTGCAAATTTTCTTTAACTTCTGATATTTGGTCATCTAGAGTGCAAACTGGTTATTTATGTATAACAGCACACTGGATTGATGAAAGTTGGAAAATGTTTAAAAGAGTTGTTTCTTTTATTGCAATTGAAGAGTCACACACTGGTATTAATGTTGCAAATTTAATTGTTGAAGAACTTATGAAACTAGAAATTGATCAAAGAATATTTACTCTTTCACTAGATAATGCAAGTAATAATAATGTAGCTGTTGATTTTCTGAAAATAACTTTGTCATTGCCATGTCATGGTGAGCTTTTTCATGTTAGATGTATCTGTCATATTTTAAATTTAATTGTTCAAAGTGCATTTTCTGAAATTAAACCCATGATAGAAAAAGTTAGAACAGTTACTAATATGCATAATGCTTCTGAAATGAGAATTAAAAGATGGAAACAATGTTGTAAAAGAAAAAATTATAAGCCTAGACTAATTCCAAAAGATGTTGACCATAGGTGGAATTCCACCTATGCAATGTTATCTGTAGCAATAGAATATAAAGAAATTATAAATGATTTTATAAATTTTTATGCTTCTAGTTCTAGCTCTGGTAGTGCTTATGGAATAACTGAAGATGAATGGACAGTTATATGTAAATTAAATGAGATGTTACAAGTTTTTTATGATGCTACTATGTTATTATCTGGTTGTTATTATCCAACTATTACTTTAGCTGCTTTACAAATTTTAAATATTCAAAAAAATTTTACAAAATATCGTATGGATGATATTTTTGGAAGTATAATTTTTGAAATGGAGAGTAAATTTAATAAGTATTTTAGGCCTATTCCTCATATTTTTGGTATTGGTGTTCTTATTGATCCATGCTTGAAGGAAATTGGCCTTCGAAGTTTGTTACAATCATTGTATGGTGGACAGATTATAGACTTAGATGATGGATCCACCCTTACTGCTACTACTCATTATTTAGCTATTAGAAATTATTTTCAAACCTTATATGATGAGTATGCAGCTAGATATGGTGTAGCTACACAACAGTCTTCAGCTTCGGCACCTTCAGCTTCGAGCACAGGTCGAGGTAAAAGTGTAAGTTTTGATAGGTATGCAATGGTAGCTGAACTAACTGGTGGATCTGGAACTTCATCAGGATTAGATGTTTCTGAAATAGATGAATATTTTTCTGCTTCTTTAGTTAGATGTCAAGGAAATGCTTTAGATATTTTGCAATGGTGGAAAGTATATGGATCAGTTTCATATCCTATACTTTCCACCATGGTTCGTGACTTACTATCAGTGCAGGTTTCGACTGTAGCCTCGGAATCCGCTTTCAGCACAGCAGGACGTTTGATCGACGACCACAGGACATGCTTAGATCCGTATACTGTACAAGCGGTGATGTGCTTACAGGATTGGTGGAGATACGAGAAGCGAACACAAGGCATCGAACGGATTGCTATGATTGAAGATAAATTTGAAGAGTTGGGACTAGCAGATAGATATAATGATTAGATAATATTCATAAAATTGTAATTTTTATTTCTTAGCTTTAAATTTGAATTAAATTATTTCGAAAAAAGTTGCAAATGATAGTGATATGGGTGAGTAGGTGCCAACCTAGTTGGGATGTACTCATCTATTGTGATGCGACGAATTTCGAAATAAATTTATACTTGTAAAGGATTTACCGATTATTAATAAAGAAGTTATTTTTATCATTTTTTGTACTTGTAATTTATGTCATTTCATTTCAAGTTATTAATAAAATTTATGACATTTTTTATAATAATTTATAATTTATGGTTTTGTTAAAATTTAAAAAAATAAAAAAAAACAAAATTAAAAAAAAAAAACAAACCGGGCCGGCCCGGTGTCCGGCCCGCTCAGGCCCGGACCCGGCCCGGACCACCCGGGCCCGGGTCCGGGCTTGGGTTTTGCCCGGCCCGGGCCCGGTTTTCCGGGCCGGGCCGGCCCGGATGGACAGCCCTACTTCCAAGTACTTATTTTTTTGGCCACAGAAATGTGTTAATATCCATAAATAAGTCTCTTAATATCCCTGATAATCTTTGTTAGAAGCATCAGATCATGGAGTTTTTCAATGCCAATATTATTTACTTGCTAAAAATTCAAGGGAATTATAATTAAAAAAAGGGAAAATGTTGAAGAGAATTTAGACAATTAGAAAGTTGAACGTCTTTTACTTCTATCTTTCAGAGATACTAGCCTACAACAAACTCTATGAAATTTACAAAACGAGCATGCGCACAACACATGCCGCTCTTCACTAGTATTGTATAATGTCCCATTCTCTTAAGGGCCTGTTTGGATTCGTAGGGGGTGAAGGGAAGTTAAGGGAAACTGAGTGAAGGGAAAGGAAGGGAAAGGAAGGGAAGGGAAGGGAATTCCCTTCCCCTTGGTTACACCCCAATTTGGGGGGTAACAATTTTTATACTATTAGGGGGTGAACCAAGGTGAATGGACGTGAATTAACTTCACTTCCTAAGTGTTCCCAAACAAGGTGAATGGAGGTGAATGATTCCCCTAACTTCCCTTCACCCTCATTCCCCTCAATCCAAATGGTTCAAATGAGGTCCTTCATTAAAAGTTATAAAAAAATGATGAGTTATCATGATCCCACTCTTGTTTATTTTAGTACCAAAATAATAAGAAAAGAAGTGTACACTTATCTTCGAAGCTAAATATTAGAACCCCGAACTATCCAACAGTTTAACGAGCCATCGGTACTTCATACAACAAAACAAAATCCAACATTTAATAAAAAAAATTTACCGTTATCTATCTTTTTAATTTTCACATTAAACGGGTATCTCTATTTATATTTATCTGATATCTGATACACAAGAAACAAAACAGCAAACTACATTTACTATTTACGACGGCGCCTCATCAGTTACTCTTCCTCTCTCCCTGACCCCCCCATCGACTGAGACAAAAAAGCCAGTGGGGCCCATTTATAGATCTAACGGTTGCTATCGTCCGATCGCATACTTCAACGGTGAGTACCACGATCCTTACCACTGTAGATTAGGGTTTTCTTTTTTTTATTTTTTTTATTTTCCCCTCTCCTGCTCGCATCGACGGACTCTTGTCGCTTCCTTGGGCGCGTGCAGTTCATCTGCCCTCCTCCCAAAACCCTAGCCTCTAAAATCCCAAAAAAACCAAAGAAAGGAAAAAAAGGAAAACAGAAAAAAATGGCTGCGGTTCAAGGAGGTCGTCTCGGTTCGCGTTTGTCGAGATATCACCACTCGCCGATCTCTTGGTTACGCCTACGTCAATTTCACCAATCCCAACGATGGTAATGATCCTACTTGCGACTCGAAGTTTCCTGATTTATTTTGGAATACTTAGGCTTTGGGTTGTTCAATTTGCTTCTCGAAAAAATGTTGGTGAAGTCTATGATTTGTCCTCTAAAAATTTCTTGTTGTTGCTGCTGCTAGTGGTTATTTGTTGAATACACATTCAAAACGAGAACACACTAGGATTATTTTTTTGTTAGAAACTGGAAAGGAAAAAAAATCAATGAAAGCAACCTATGCTGCGCAGAACTATTTCCAAGATAAAACGTCTCAATAATAAACGAGAGTAAGTTATGGATAATAGATAGCTTGGAAGCTAGAATTATACATGCCATTGATTTGATGTTCTATGATTCCGATTGTACAATGCGCTTCTTGCTGTTGCTAAATATTGATTAAACTTATATAATTTTATGATTTTCCTTTACACCATGTTTCTTATTGTTTCTAACTATCATCAATTCTAGATATTTCTGGTTTATGGTGTGTGAGTTGCTGCTTCTTGTTGATGTATAGTAATTGATTTTTGGAGAAAATTATGATTATTGATGTATCCACTTGCTTGGTTATGGTTATGCAGATCATTGATTTTAAAAACTTAATGATTTGGTTGTACAATTTGCTTTCTGTTGTTGTTAAACGTTGGTTTTAGAAATCAAATTATTTTCCTGTGCAAATTGTTTGTTGTTGCTGCTAATGGTCCTTAGTTTTATCAAATACTAGTTGTTATTTGTGTGATGCACGAGACATAGTATTATAATAATGTTGCACGCATATTCTGATAATATTCAGATTCAATAGACACCTATTCAAATTGAAAACATGCCAATACGATTTTCTCACTATAAACAAAAAATAATAATAATGAAACAAATAACGTATAACTATTTCAATTTTCAAGATAAAATATCTCAATAATAAATGATTTGGGTATGGATAGTAGCATGAGAGCTAGTAATGCATGGAAAATAGCTATTTTCAAGGGAGATAGTTTATGAATGACAAACACATGTCACATTCCTACAACCATTGGCAATTATTTATCAGAAGAGCATCAATTTCAGCTTTGTGGTTCACAAATTGCCTCTTGTGGTTCTTGTGCATTCCATCGATTTTAAGTAATTTATGATTTTTGATGTATCAGCTTGCTATTTGTTGCTTTTATAAAGGTGATCTATTTTGGAAAAGTTATGATTTGTATATATTAAAATTCTTTTTGCAGCTAAATGTTAATGAAATTAGAGGATTTGTGTATTTTCCTGTACAAAGTGCTTGTTGCTGCTGCTTCAAGTCATCATTTTTCAAAGAAAATTTTCAGTTTGCAGTGTGCGTATTTCTTTTTGTTGTTTCCATGAGATAATCAATTTCAGGAAATTTATTGTTTGTGATATGTAGCTTGCTTTTTGATATTAGTGCTATGCAGTTATTAGTTTTAGAAAAAAACGGAGCAAACTTAAGGCCAAGTGTTTTTCTTTAATGCCATTTTATCTTATGTACAGCGGCAAGGGCTTTGGATATGCTTAACTTCACGCCTATCAATAATAAGGCAATTCGTATAATGTACTCAAATCGTGATCCCAGTACACGAACTAGTGCTGCAGCTAATATATTTATCAAGGTAACATGATATTTGTTTCTTTCTTTATTGTGGATGGGCTTGTACTGATTAGTCTAGTTGCTGTTTTGGCAGAATCTGGACAAGAGTATTGATAACAAGGCGCTCCATGACACATTCTCGGCGTTTGGGAATGTTCTTTCATGTAAGATTGCCACGGATGCATCTGGGCAGTCGAAGGGGTATGGTTATGTTCAATTTGATCAGGAGGAGGCAGCACAAAATGCAATAGACAAGCTGAACGGTATGGCTTTAAATGATAAGGTGGTTTATGTTGGTCCTTTCCTTCGTAAGCAGGAGAGGGAAAATACAGCAGATAACGAAAGCAAGGAGAAGTTTTCTAATGTCTTTGTGAAGAATCTTTCGGAGTCCACAACAGAGGAAGATTTGTCAAAAGTTTTTGCCGAGTTTGGGCAGCTTACTAGTACGATAGTAATGAAGGAGGATGATGGGAAATCCAAGTGCTTTGGATTTGTTAATTTTCTCAATCCTGATGACGCTGCACGAGCAGTTAAGGAACTTAATGGAAAGAAATTTGATGATAAAGAGTGGTATGTTGGGAAAGCACAGAAGAAGTCTGAAAGAGAGAGGGAGCTGAAAGGGAGATTTGAGCAAGGTATGAAAGAGTTAGCTGACAAACATCAAGGGGTTAACTTGTATCTGAAGAATTTGGATGATAGCGTTGGAGATGATAAGCTGAGAGAGATGTTTTCTGAGTTTGGCATGATTGCGTCATGCAAGGTTCTTCTAGAATAAACTCAGTCAGTTCATTCTTTATCAAGTGTAGGCCGTTTTCTGGCTTGGATAAGGTTAAGATATAGATATTTATTATGTGCAGATTATGCGGGATCCTAATGGTATAAGCAAAGGATCTGCGTTTGTTGCATTTTCAACACCTGAAGAGGCATCTCGAGCTGTGAGTTTATGCAATAAGTTAGCATTGGAAACCTAATTGTTGGTTGGTTCTTATATTTCAACTTCTTTGTAGCTTGCTGAAATGAATGGAAAAATGGTTGGTGGAAAGCCTCTATATGTTGCCCATGCACAACGAAAAGAAGACAGAAAAGCTAGGTTGCAGGTATGTAATTGAATATAAAAGATTTGTCCTTTTTTTCCGTTTAATTTGGTGATACTCTAAAAATCTGTAATTCCTCTTCACAAGTAACTGTATGGTACCACTGGTATTTCCACACATGTGAATGCATTTCTATATAGTTCTTGTTCTTTAAGCCTATGAAAAATTCTAGCATTCTCTTCTGTATTCTTCCTGCTTAGTTCTTTGCATGCATTCCTTCTGATTCATTCCTTTTTAATCTTTATTTCTCATATGGCAGTACAATTGTCTCTGGATGTTGTTCTAGACATTATTTTTGTGTCCATACGTGAATATCATGAAGTTTTGGGTGGTTTTATTATCTATAGGTGCTGCTAGTATTTCTCTAAGTTGGTGCCTACCATCATCAAATATTCATCCCAAAATCTCCCATCAAAGTTGTTTTGATATAGAAGTCAGCCTGCAAGCAAGAGAGCTCAGCAGAAGAATAAACCGACCTCTTCTCCTTTTCTTTTCTTGACTGATCGATATAACGTTGACCCCCCTTGAGTTGGTGCTAATTAAATTGCCTATGCAACTTTGAGCAAGAGGCAACTTGCCATGATATCTTCATGGAACTTGGTAGCAGGCAGATGGACTTGTATTTTCCTGGTCTTTTAAGCTCATGCATGGAAAGAAACAAGCCTTTTAAGTTTTACGGCGTGGTACGGGAGTCCTTTTTTTTCCATGAGTACTTTGGATTTTATTTCCTAGTTAATGTGAATTTTTTAGCATTCTGGAAAGTGTTCTTTGCTTGATTTGCTTGAAACTATTATGAAAAGTGATCGTGTGATAACCTAGAATATGAGTTCGAAACTAGGTTTCACCCTCTTTCTTATAGAAACTTGGATACAGATTTTATGCAATGCTATCTCCAGAATGTGTGCTCTAGAGAGGATATGGTAGCCTTAAAAAAATTTCTGGGAGATGTTATTCTTTACTATAATACACTTCGCTAAAATCGTAAGATAACACTGATTGTTTTTCACTAAGTCTTTGATCACTTGTTGCCTGCTGAAGGGAGTTTCTAGAAGGAAATATTTGTTTTTCTTTAAAATGTTTAAGCCACATGTGTATATGTTTATGCAATATAGCTTCTGAGTCATCTAATAACATCAGTATTATCAGATTATGAAAGTAAAATTCTTCATGTTGTCCACATTAACAATTCTATGTGGACAGTTCATTGTCAATAGCAGTGGCTGGTTCAAATCTTTGTGGTCCCTTGTAAAGTTGCTAGCCCTGTGTTTATCAATGTCCCTATTCTGAAACCCTCTCTGAGAACTTCTCTCTATCACCATTAACTAATATGGTGTGGTTTATTGTTTAGTTATTTTCTGGGAAGAGGATTTTCATAACTGTGTCATATGGTGGAGCTTCTAAGGAGTACAAGGATTTCGGTAAATGCTAATGAGGTTCAAAATGAAAAGATTAATGTCTCCTTTTTTATTAACTTCATTAATTTTAATTTTATTTTAAGTTGGACTTCAGTCTATGAACAAGATCTTGTCTGCTATATTAATGATCTGAAGTTTTAAAATATGGTGAAAACTTGCAGGTATTGTTACTTTCTATGGCCATTGAAATAAACATAAATTTTATCGTTTGACATCAACACGAATTCCAAGAATAACTTCTCCACACAAACCGTCCATGGGTAAATGCCAAATTATCATTTTTTAAAGAAAATCAACTAACACCTTAAAAAAATCCTTAGGTTGAAAACAATTTTGCTGGCTAAGCCCTTTCACCATCTTCTTGTCCCTAATCCCCATTATTAAAACTGGTTGCTGACGCTGCCTGCGCATTAAAACTCTTAAAAGCTGCTGCTGCTCAGATGCACAGCAGGATAGGGTGGAGAAGATATCTGAGAGATATCTCTGGGTCTTTCTTGTCTTTGTTAAATTAGTGATAATAACTAGGTTGGGGGATATTTATAATTTTATATACCAAAGAAAACAATATTGTTGGTTTTTTGTTTATTTGAGTTAAAAAGCAAACCCAAAATCCAAACTGAAAACAAGAATATCTGAGATTAGAAACTGAACCAAGCCCAACTAGACTGAATATGTTAAATATATTTATAGTTCAATCTACTCAATGTTATGTGAACATGCAGACCACTACAGCCTACCATATCAATGCATCTGTTATGAGCACTCTGGCAATCTTCTGAAATGCAGTTGACTAAATCTACAACATTTCACTTTTGTGTTTTTGGTAATATGCTGGAACCATCTCATTTCTGCCAGCAAGCAGCAGACCGAGAGAGGGAAGGAGGGAGCACTTAATAAAACAACACAATTAATCTATAGCTCTGTTTTCCATAAATTTTACTGCTGAATTAAATAAACTTCCTGGCGTGTTGAAAACTATTGTCCATAGGTAGGACACTTGACGTCATAATATGTTTAGACTCTTAGGTATGTGAAACATGTAGTTTCCTAGTGGGAGACTCAGTCAACTCCTGGAAGAAAAAGCATGCAGTTTTTGGCGTTTAGATGTGTTCTTAACTTTAGCGTTTCTAAGAAAAGAAGGAATGTACTTTATTGAGCTCATCATCATCTAAGGTTGTACCGTGTCTCGTAGATAATGTGGCTTCATTTAGCAGATTTGTCATCTGCTTTCCCAGATCAATTTGGAGTCTGGTCCTAAGTTGCACGAGATTTACCAAAATAAGTAGTTTTTCCTTTCTGCCTGTGAGTGGTTAATGCATGAGTTTTTTCTACATGTGAGTAGCCGACGCATAAGCTCTTCTCTTGTTCATTGCCTCTTAAAAACAAAGAATATTTGAATCATCCTTCAAGCCTACTCAATGCAAAATTTTGTTCCATATCTGAAGCCATTTTAATGCAAAATATAACAGTTATATTGAAAGAGGTGAATCATATGATGATGATGATTGCGGTGGTTAGTTGACAGAAGGATATACCTATCCTTCATATGTGAATATGTCTTCATATTTGCAGTATGGTTTTGGTTCTCTGATAGTGTGTCTTATTCTAGATAGCATTGCTTTGAATCTATTATGTTAAATTTCAATAGTGTGGCCGTACATAACCTCTTTTGTAATGGTTGTTGCCTTTGCCTTCAATTTACTTATTTTCAATTTAGTTTAGCGGTACCATACACATTATTTTGTCGGTTATTGCGTAATTTTTTTTCATCATGTACAACCATCTCTTCATAGATAAATGTCCAGTGCATCAACTTTCATCATTTACTTTTTGGGTATTTCTGTACGATACATTTATTTCCTGGTTGCCATTTCTGAAAAAAACGGTTTATGCTTTTTGTAGGCACAGTTTTCACAAATGGGACCTGGAATGGCGCCTGTTGGAGTGCCTCGCATGCCCATTTTCCCCCCAGGTGCTCCTCCTCTTGGACAACAGCTATTCTATGGCCAAGCACCTCCCGCTCTGATTCCTCCACAGGTAACATTTCTTGGTTTAATATGGGCAAGCTAACGGAAAGTTCTTGTACAGAATTTCCTATTTCTCGTGTATATGAACTGTTAAGGTTTTTAAGATGGCAAATGTGAATATTTTTTATCTTTCAGTTTCCTTGGAACACGTCTCTGCTTGGTATTCATGTGACCAAATTAAAAATTCACTATCTTGGTATTAACTGAGCCTTCCTGTATTTTGTATAATAATTATTCATTGTTAAGATTTTGGGGCTGGCAGCACATTCAATTTTTCTTGTCAATGAATGATAATGACCCGAGAACTTTCCATGCATACTAGAGTAATAAGTAACATCTATTTACTGATCAAGGTTCTGCGAAGTCTTATCTTGAGTAATTGAAACTGTCAGCTATTTCCTGTTATTAGGGTCCTGCAGAGGGATACACTTATTAATCTACATCTGATGTTGACAGCTTTGCTGTCTGCAGTAGCGATAAGAGTGGCTTCCTTGATTTATTTGATTAGTAGGCTGAAAGGACTCGTAGAGCTAGAGCATGTGCACAGGTTGTTGTCTTATTTGGATGGATTGCATACGTTATACCAAAATGTTGAAGCGTTTGTAATGATTGCACATTATTTAGCAGAGAATTTAGGAAATCAATAATAAAGTTATACTGAATATAGCATTGTACTTCCCAGTGCTGATGAAAAAGTTTTCTTCAAGAAGGTAGAACAGAAGATACATAGAACGTTCCTCCTGATTCATTTACTCGGGCTGAACTATTTTTTATGAGTAACACTTATGGCTAACTCTTTCGTTTACAGCCAGGATTTGGTTATCAGCCGTCAATGGTTCCTGGGATGAGGCCTGCAGGGGGTCATATGCCAAACTTTTTTATGCCATTAGTTCAGCAAGGAGGTCATCAGCAGCCCCGCCCTGTAGGTCGGCGTGGCGGACAGGGTCCTGGGCAAATGATGCAGCAGCCCATGCATTTCCTTCCGCATCAGGTTGGTCTTAATTTTGTTTTCTTCATGTTTATTGGTTTTCTCTCAACTCTTGTACATAATGAAAGGATCTTACTGTTATCATTTTGATAAAACATGCAACACACTACCATATTATCGTGCTAGGTGTGTGATCTAATCCACACCCAATGTTTTGCCCATTCTGCAGAATTGATTTGTGTGCTCGAACTTGAATATTTTGCGTTCCTACTTTCTGAATGTAACTTATTACTATGTGCCATTGCATTTTCATTGTGCATGAAGCATATTAGTTTTCACTAGCCTGTGTGACGTATGTAGTTTATATGATGGAATAATGTTGAAAATGATGAATAACATTTACCTATGTCTGCTTCTCGATAGCTTAAAACCGGATGTAGCTTAACACAACATCATTTATATGTTTTGTTATTTTTAAATTGAAAAGAAGTATAAAATTATCCATAATAATTTTGGCAACAAGGACCATGATTTCAAAATATAAAACATTTAAATTTTGAAACAAAAATTCTAAATTTATTATTGGATATACTAATTTACGAACAAGTATCATAATGAAATGTTCAAATATATCATCACAAATTACATATCTAATTCAAAAGTTCATATTCACTTCATTCTAATACAAATCATATGGTCACTATCACAACAAATATTATGCCAACTGAATATCAATCATGACAAAAAAGTCCTCAAGTCTTGAGAAATAATTCAAAAGCAAACACTTAATTACTCAAACCTTAAATTTAGCAAAAAAAAAAAAAAAAACCTCAAGTTTCTAAGATAACTATATTGAACAGCATATATTATATTGAAATGAGATGCATTACTTTTGCATAATGTAAAATTTCGAGTTACATAGCTTTTTTTTCTTCAACACCGTAATTGAGTGGTCTGTGCTGCAGATGTTGCCTAGCCATGGCAGGGGACGTTCATATGGTTACCCACAGGGTCGCAACATGCAGGGTGGCAATTTCCCCTCCATGCCTAGTCATGAAAGGGAGCAACAACCCCTCAGTGCTCTAGCTACAGCGCTCGCAAATGCTTCTCCTGACCAGCAGAGGACGGTAAGTGCTCTGGGCATTTGCACTTTGATACCTCAAAGTTTCATTCTTTTTTAAATTCGATACCCCGATGTTACTTTTTGACAATTTGGTACCCTGATGTACTAAACATTAACATTAATTTTGTTCGCGGTTTTTAGCCAGAAATTCGTGCGGGGCCCCGACCGAACCTCTCAATTCTATTTATTGATGGCAGGATTAGCCATTAAAAGCTTACAAGGAGGGGTTTCCAAGAACTTTCAAACATGTGAAAAAGCATGATATCATAGCACTATCCTTTAACAAAAAACCTAAAACATGACCGAAAATCTCCAACAGCCCAAAAGAAAAGCAAATACATGGTGACAAAAGTCACAAAACAAGCCCAAATCGTCCGACATGTCTTTCAAACTGGTTACTCATACTTTTTTCTGATGTGATGCAAAACCCAAGAGTCATCCAGGAGAGCCAATTTAACATGTAAATTTAAAGCATTGTTATAAAACTCTTATCTCATTTCTCGATCCATGAGCCGACAATCTACCTACAACATGGTTCGCTTCTCTAAACACATGCGAAAACAGTATAAGGCATGTTCTCCAAAATCGATATAATTTTACTCCAGGTTGCTCCATACTTCCAGTGCTTCGGAAAAAGCAGAAAATAATTATAGTTATCAAATTTTAGTTTTTTAGTTTGAAAACAGATTGAGAGCCAGTTTGGATTTGTAGGGGGTGAAGGGAAGTTAAGGGAAACTAGGTGAGAGAATAGAAGGGAAGGGAAGGGAGTTCCCTTCCCCTTGGTTACACCCCAATTTGGGGGTAACAAATTTTATACTATTAGGGGGTTAACCAAGGGGAACTAGGGTGAATAACTTCACCTCCTAAATGTTCCCAAACAAGGTGAATGGAGGTGAATGGTTCTCCTAACTTCCCTTCACCCTTATTCTCTTCAATCCAAACAAGCCCTGAGGGAAAAGTAAAAGATTTTGGGGGTGTCAAATGACAAATTAACATCAATTTGAAAGCTTTGCGGTAAAACTGTCAAAGTAGAACTTCGGGGTATCAAATTGCTAATAACCCTTTTTTCCCAAGTAGTTTACTAGAGCTTTCCTTTGGCTTGAGATTAACGGCACATGCCTGCTTTATGTTGGAGATTTGGATAATAACAGTTGCCTTGCTTCTGTTTCAGATGCTTGGTGAAAATCTATACCCTCTTGTGGTGCAGTTAGAGCCTGATCATGCTGCCAAAGTGACTGGTATGCTGCTGGAGATGGATCAGACCGAGGTCTTGCATTTGCTAGAGTCTCCAGAGTCTTTGAAGGCGAAAGTGGCCGAGGCCATGGAGGTCCTGAGAAATGTCGCTCAGCAATCACCTCACGGTCAAATGGCTTCACTGTCGCTGAGCGATGAATCTTGAGTCTGCTTTCCTTACTGTTTCTGTTTCTTTTCATACTTTGATAGAGTTTTAAGAGAGGCTAGACGTTATTATGGTTTTGGATAATTTTTGTTTGTTGTTCCCTGTGGAACGCCTTATCTTAGGGTACACTATTTTTTGGGGCATACTGGTGTAGCTTTCTAGTTCATCTTATATTTGTCATTGTTGTACTTCAGGTTCTTAATTCCTGCTTCTTTGGTCATGGACATCCCGCATGAGTTCAATTTTGAATTACATTATTATGGAATTGTTGGTTTGTGGAGGATTTCTACTGCAGGCGGCTCCAATTTGTAGCGGGTAGCTGCACTCAGGGTTTTGCTTGTTTCACTGCGACTGCAGTCCCGCAAATGCAATTGTAAGTTTGAGTAATCTTTTCCTGATCAGACTTATGACCAATTTGGGTATAAGCTGTTAATGCAACCGATGGTCTCTTACCCTCGCCAGTGGCTTAGGGGGGTGGTGCTTGGGGCCTTGGCTTGAAAGCTTAAAGGTCGATCCGAGTCTGCGACATGTTTATACCTAGTATAATTTCTAGTCATTAAGCGTTGTAATACTTGTGATATTCACTTGGGTCTGGACCTCAAAGATGAACGAGTATAGAGAAGAGAAAAGATGATATCTTTGAAGGGGGGCTCCGGTAATGGGTAAGAGGTTTTCTTTTTTTCGTTGTATTTTTAAAGGAAATGCATCCCTCCTTTTATAGGGGCTTAACCCACTATCTCCAAGCCCTTCAGTTCCGCCCCGATGAGAGATTTCCTCTCAACAAACCATTCACGTTCCACGTTTCTCTCAACAGAGAAACAACGTTGATTTGGTCACATTAGACCGAGTCTATGCAACATCTCCCACTTGACCAATTAACCAAGTGGCATGCCTCTCACTATCGCGTGAGATCAGATGTTTCTGCTTACTATTACTCCCACTATCCGGAGAGAGTAACTCTTATTTCATTATTCATGAAATTTTACTTGAATTATTTATTCCTAAGTCCCATCAAACTTACATGTTTGATAAAAGATCCGCTGGTATCCTTTTGTCAAGGATCGCAATCATATCTGTAGTAGGGATATAGTCCTTTGACTTCTCCTGTTTCTACAATATTCTCGAATATAGTGATACTGGATCTCAATATGTTTTCGCTTTGAGATCTATTGCGGCGCCTATGATTAAGTTATTGCTGCTTGATTATCAAATAACATTAAATAGGTTCTCTAACAAAATTGAGATGCAAGATCATGCAAACCGTCTTATCCAGACACGATGTGTAATTGCCATTACTGCAAGCTATAGTATTCCAGCTTTTGCGTATATCTGGCAACACACTTGTTTTTGCTGCTGACTAAGAAACAGCGTCCCTCCTCCAAAGATACAAAGTGCGTCGAAGGGACTTCTCCATGATCTTTATGCACCGTCGAAATCAGATCTGGAAATAACCGGGAGGTTCAAAGCGAATCAGCTTGATAAGACTAATCTATGAGTCAATGTACTTCATGAGTATACTTATAATCCTTTTACAGCTTCGCATGTGCTGGTCCTGGATTACTTTGATATCTACTGACTGACTCACGCATAAGCTAATATCGGAGTCGGTGGATGCACAATTGCATAATCAAGCTCCATTGCTTGAGCATGAGGAACATCTAATGGTTATTGGCTCTCCAGGGGCTTTTGCTCTTTAATAATCTCTTTCTATAACCGGATGTTGGTCGGGCGATTGGATTTTCCATTCCAAACATTTAAGAGAACTGATTTAAATATTTTCTTGTTAAACTAGCATTCTTAGAATTTCTTATCTGAATTTATTTGAATTCCAAGAATATATGATGGATCATCGACATGTCTTTCATCTCAACATTTTGCGCTGAGATCTGCCTTGGTTTTATTCAAACATTTCTATGTCATTTCCTAGGAGCAATATATCATCCAAATTAATAGGATTAATATTAGTAAATTGCCTCCCACTTTCTTAAGCAATATACACATTTATTATTTATTTTGAATAAAAACCAAGTTTAGTAACTGCATCAGAAATTTGAGATACCATTGTCTAGAACTGTTTAAAACATATAGAGGACTTGTCATCAATTGTGTAAAGCTTTATGTTCTGTTCTTTTCACCTGAAAACTTCAAGGTTGTGAATATATATTGCTTCTTCAACTCTCCGGTAAAGGATGCAGTTTTAACATCCATTTGGGAATAACTCCAATCAAGATAATGGCACAATAGCAAAAATATATCTAATGGATGCAAATTTAGGTAGCAGGAGATACGTCCTGAAAAATCTATTTCCTGGCGCTTCTGGTTAAACCTTTGGCAAACTACCGGCTTTGAATTATCAATAGATCCATGCAAACACATAATTCTTTTTGAGCACCATTGCATCGCTATGGCTTTTCTATTTTCTGGTAGAGTCCATAGCTCCCATACTTTATCTTTATCTAATGAATCAAAGTTCTTCTCTCATACGATTGCTAGTGCCATAAAGCCGATTCATGCGATTTCATCAGGGCATCAGACAAGGTTAAGGGATCTTTGTTCTTGTCTATATTTGTATCTACCGAAAAACAATGAAATGACTCACATGATACAGAATAGTAATCATGGCCATCCATGAGGTTGTGCTTCTTGGTCTTTTGGTATGCCTACAACGGTTGTTAAGGTACATTAATTTCGTATAGGTATTTCATCATTTTCAAGGTTAGGTTCATTACACGATATCTAGGGGTCATTAGTGGAACGAACACTGTAATATCATCATCTATGTAAGCAGTTAGCAGGTTCTGGTTTGCGCTCTGAACTTGTTCGCTCTTCTCTAGATTCTCTAGAATATGTAGCATCTCTACTTTCAATGACTTCCTTTTCTTTATTTCATAGAACTATATAACCTTTTGATTTGGGCTAGAATACCCTAATGAACTACAACTTTTATTGTTTTTAAAATCTAAACTTATCTGCTAAGTTTGGACATGGATGAGACATGGGCTAGTAGATCCCCACTTCCTGAGAATGACTCAAATTAGGTTTCCTCCCATTCCAATAATTCATAAGGTGTAGAGTATTAGATCCTGATTTGGTGGGAATTCTATTTAAAATGTAGTTTGGCAGTTAAATGCTTCCTCCCCAAAAGTTTTTAGAAGAGACCAGAATGAGACAACATGCACTCTAACTACATTAATAATTTCTGTTTTTCTTTCCAGCAACATCATTCTGTTGTGCGTATACAGGCATTGTTGTATGCCTTTTGAATTCCATGTCTGAATACAGTTTACTTTCAAATTCCTTTAGAAATTATATTCTCCACCTCTATCAGTTCTCAGAATTTGATTTTCCAAATCCAAGTTGGTTTTCACTTCTGTCTTATTCTCTTAAAGCAGTCAAAGGTTCGTTGGTATGAAGAAGTCGAAAACACCAACGAAGATCTCGCCCTGTTTGATGCCAAAGTCGCATCGGGTGAGATTCCTCCAATTCCCAATCAAGGCAGATTTGCTCTAGCCAACCCTTCTGCCGCAGAGGGCGTGGTGACTCTCTCGAAGAGAGCCCGCCAAAGGCAACGTCAACGCCTTGCGAAACAATTCGCAAAGGCCATGGAGTCAGTTGACGGGATCCGCTACAACGCGGATCTGAAGAACAAGAGAGGCAAACAGCCTCAACAGCAGATGAACGGCGCCTCTTCCAAG